CCTCCCGGGAGGGGCGGGGCCTCCCGGGGGCGGGGCCCTCTGGCAGTGGGCGGGGCCTCCCGAGAGGGGCGGGGCCTCCCGAGAGGGGCGGGGCCGTGGGCGGGGGCTCCGGGCCGCCAGGGCCCCCCCATCGCTAACCTGTCCGTGGCGGGGGGCTCGCCCGGCGCTCCGGCGGCTCAGAGCGGGCAGCGCTCCGCGAGGGGCACAGGGGGCCCAACCGATGCTGCGTTCCCCAGGAAATCCGGGCCAAGGAGAGGGGCCTCCTCCCAAGGGGTGGGCCCCACAGCACCGGGCGAGGGGCCCTGGGCAGGCAGGGCCTGGGGGGCCTGGGGCGGGTCTCCAGGACGCGCAGGCAGGAGTCGCCGCCCACTGTCCAGTGCACCAGGTGGGGCCGAGGGTGCCGTACCAGCTGTGCCAGGAGGGCCTGGGTGGGGCCGGGGTGCAGGCTCACAGGCCCGGCATCTGCAGTCAGGCCGCCCAGGCAGCCACTGGCCACATGCCCACGGGGGATGACAGGCCACCAACCCGCGCCGGGGCGGGGCCCACGTCCGCACCTGCTCTCTGTCCAGGTTGGAGGGTGTGCCTCCTCTGCCTCCGTGCGCCCCACTCTGTGGACTGCTTAGGGCGAGAGCTGGCCCTGCCCAGCACCCAGACCCCGAGGCGCGGGCAGCAGAGAGTGTGAGGCTCCTGTCAGGGACACAAGCGCGAGTCACCACCGCCCCCCACCCCCTGCCGCGCTGCCCGCACCCCGCCACGCCACGGCGACCCCGTCTGCCTCTGGAAAGGGAAGTGAAAAGCGCGAATATCTGGAACACAAAGACGGACGTCGTGGCGCGCTGCAGGCTGCCTCCGAGCCAGATCGCAGCCGGGACCCATCGCGCAGCCGGGCCTCCGGGGCGGGCAGCCGCCGGGGCGTGCGTGAGGGCAGATGTCCGAGGGAGAGGCCTGGGTGACGGGCCACAGGGTGGCACCGGACGGCAGCTCAAAACTGGATAAAGAGAGAAACTCGAACTCGACGCAGTTCCCAATTTGGAGGAAAAAATTGGTTCTCCCAAATGTCATTCGTGTGCTGCGGGCAGATCGCGCTCTCCCGGGGTGTGACGGGCTGAACCCAAAGTTCTTGGGGAGGGGGACATCGGCAAAGAACAGCCAAGGCTTTTGGGAACTAAGCAACACTCAGGGAGCCCGGGGGCCAGGGGCTGGGACTGGGCTGGGACTGGGCCGGGGCCGGGGCTGGGCTGGGGCTGGGCTGGGGCGGGGCTGGGCCGGGGCCGGGCTGGGCTGGGCCGGGGCCGGGGCTGGGGCTGGGCTGGGACTGGGCTGGGACTGGGCCGGGGCTGGGCTGGGCTGGGACTGGGCTGGGGCTGGGCCGGCGCTGGGCTGGGCTGGGACTGGGCTGGGGCTGGGCCGGGGCTGGGCTGGGCCGGGGCTGGGGCGGGGCTGGGCTGGGGCTGGGCTGGGGCAGGGCTGGGCTGGGCCGTGCTGGGCTGGGCCGGGGCCGGGGCTGGGCTGGGGCTGGGCTGGGCCGGGGCTGGGGCTGGGCTGGGCTAGGCCGGGGCTGGGGCTGGGGCGGGGCTGGGCTGGGCCGGGGCTGGGCTGGGCTGGGCTGGGCTGGGCTGGGCTGGGCCGGGGCTGGGGCTGGGCTGGGGCTGGGCTGGGCTGGGCTGGGCTGGGCTGGGGCTGGGCTGGGGCCGGCCTGGGGCTGGCCGGCCTGGGGCCGGGGCCAGGGCCGGGCAGCCCGAGGCTTGGCAGGTCGGGGGAGACTGAGCTCAAACCGTAAGATTCGCCTCAAAATTCAGCGCAAAAGCAGCCGGCGTGGCAGCCAGCCCCGAGGGGCACCTGGGCAGCCAAGGACCAGGTGCCCTGGCCACGGCCAGGTCAGGGGGCAGAGGGGGCATCGCCCGCCGGTCCTCACCCCACTAGCAAATCACAGGCGTGCCCCGACCCTGCCATCCTGCAGGACAGCTGGCCCAGCGTGCGCCCGTGCTCCCAGCCGTGCTCCCAGCCGTGCTCCCAGCCGTGCTCCCGGCCGTCGGCCCACAGCCTGCGGGCACCCTGGGAGGCTCTGCTGGAAGGGACGGCACCTGTGCGGGGAGGGGTGGACAGAGGGGCTGGGGTCCGGGGGGGCAGAGGGGCTGGGGTGCAGGGTGATGGAGGGCATGGGGGGATGGATGGATTGGGGTGCAGGGGGTGCCTGCAGGGGGACATGGGGGTGGAGCTGTTTCTGGAACAGCAGCAGCCAAAGAGCAGGGGGAGCGGGCAGGGGCCAGCTGGCCAGCGGGACCCCGGGTCAGGGCAGACGGCTCGCAACGGTGCGCCTGACGGCCTGGGCCCAGCGGGCGCGGAAGGGCCAGCCCGCGTCCCTCGGGGCCGAGCGTGTGGGCTGGGGTGCCCACGGGGCTGCTTGGCTTCCGTGGACTTCTGCCTTTGGGGTTTAACAGCCCTTTACACGCACGTCGCCGGGGTGTTTCTGGGCTCTGGGGAGCTGGAGGCCGGCGGCTGGTCACCCCCGTCCCGCCTGGGAGCCGCGCCGTCCTCCGTCCGCTCAGCCTCCTTCCTCCGGCCCCCGGCAGGGCTCACAGACGCCCCTTCCCCAAACCCCGGCTGCCCCCGGAGGGAGCAGGCTGCCGTCTGAGCCGCCCAGGCCTGTGCGGGTCCGGCCCTGCGGCGAGAGGAGGGGGCCGTGCTGGGGTCCCCGGGCAGAGCGCGGGCAGGCGGTGACCGGGTCTGTGCGAAGGGGGCCGCCTCGTTCCCCGGCCGTGCCGTCCTCCCGCTCCCGGGCCACGTCCGTCTCTGCGGAGCTGGCCCGGCGGGCGGCGGCCACGCCGGGGCGGACAGCGTGCTGGGGCTGGGGGACGCTGGGCGCTCTGTGGCTCCTCGCTGGCCGGCTGGGCGCGGGGCGGAGGGCTCACGGGGTCGGCTCCCCAAAGGGCACCCGCTTGGCCTGTGGTCCGGCTGTCTGTGCAGGAGGCCTGGGCCCCGAGCCCACTGCAGGGCCGGGGAGGCTGGACAGAAGGACCCTGGAGCGAGCGGTGGGCGGGGGGGCTGGGTGCAGGGTTGAGGGCGCTGCACCCCACAGGCTTCTGACGGGGAGCCCTGAGCTGGGACCCCTAGCCAGGCGCCCCACTGCACAGGGAAGGGTGAGAAACCAGCGGGGGCCGGCAGCGCCTGGGAGAGTTGCCGCCCTGCCGGCTGGGTGGGCGCTGGGGCTGCGGCCCCTCGAGGCTGGCGGAGCGGGGAGGGAGCCGCCGGGAGCCGGGCCCAGCAGGGCTGAGAGGGCCACCCCTGAGAATCACGGGCCACCGGACCTCTGGCCCCCAAACACTGCCCAGCAGGGCCCGGCCCCCACCCAGCTCGTGCAGGTGCCCGCTTGGGGGGCGAGGACACCCTGCCTGCCGTGCAGAGCAGCTTCTTGGGGGCCGGTGGGGGAGACAGGGCGCCAGGTCCGGGGCCTTCGCAGGCCGGGTCCCGAGGGACCGAGGGGGGCCCTGAGGCGTCACTGCCCCTCCGGGAGCCAGGGAGCTGAGCTGCGCGGCGCCCGCCTGGGCCTGCAGCCACGCCTCTCCCGCAGCCCCCCATCTGCAGGGCCGCGCCAGCTCCTGCTTGGCCAGGGCCACGTTGGTCCCCTCGGCTGCACCCCGGGGCCACGCTCCCCCAGTGACCGCAGCGGGCACCGCGGCCACCTCCTGGGACCCCGCCCGCAGGTCAGGATCCTCTCGCCAAGGGGATGGCCGGGGCCGCCAGAGGACACTGGACAGAAAACCAGCAGCTCTGCCCCCGCCGCTGGCCAGACCCCTGCGTCCCGGCCGTGGCCCGGGGGGCCTCGGGGCAGTTGGGGGCCAGGAACGACCTGGGCGGGGCAGGGGCAGCCGGGCTGGGGTCATGCCCCACGAGGACGGAAGCGTGGTGGGCCCGGCCCCCTCCGGGGTGACGGGGCGCTCAATGGCCTCTTTCTTCTCAGGCCTCGCGGGGGTCAGCAAGGGCAGCCCGGCCCCGCCCCACCCCACACGTGGGCGCAGACGCGCTGCCCCCGAGGGGCGCCCCCTTGCCCTCCTCCCCCCTGCGTGCTCTCGGCGCAGCCACCCGGCCGCTCTGGGGTGCACGTGGGGGTCAGGCGACGGGCCCCGGGGCGCCGGACTAGGCTGGCACTGGACGGCCACGGGCCCGGGGTCAGGACGGCTGGCAGGGCGGGCAGCTCGCGGGGGCTCCTCCGGGGCCCCGGGGCGGATGGAGCCTCCCCCTGGCCGGGGACCCGGTCTCCCCACCCCCCCAGAAAGAGGGGGGGAGCCGGCCCCCAGGTACCCGGCCCGGCCGCTCGGGGGTCGCCTGTCCCTGCCCGCCGCCCGGCCAGCACCAGGGGCCGCCGCCGCGCCCAGGCGGGTTCTGCCCCGGCGGCCCGCGCGCGGGGGGCGGGGGGCGGGGGGCGGGGGCGCCCTCGGGGGTCTCCCGCGCCCGCCGCCCTCCGCGCCCACAAGGGCGGCCTCCGGGGCCCGCGGCGCCGCGGAGGGGACGGCGCGCGAGGGGGCGCCGGGCGGGCGCGGGGCGCGGGGCGCGGGCTGGGGGCGCCGGGGCGGGGGGCGGGGGGCGGGGCCGCCCCTGATAGGCCGCGGGCCGGCGTCACGTCCGGGGCGGCCCGGCCTCGGCATCCCCCGCGCGCAGGTGGGGCCCGCCCGGGGCTGGAGGGGCGCCCTGGGGACCCGCCGCGGCGCGCGCTCCGGGCACCCCGGCCCGGCCCCCCTCGCGCCCGCGACGCGCCGGGCGGGCGGGCCCCGGGGAGAGGGGGGCGCCCCGCCGCGCCCCGCCCGCCGCGCCCCGCCCCGCGCCCCCGCCCCGCCCGCCCCGCCCGCCCGCGGCCGCCGAGGGGAGGGGAGGGGAGGGGAGGGGAGGGGAGGGGCCGGGCCGGCGGCGGGGGAGGGCCGAGCCGACCGCCTCGCCCGCCGCGCTGGGCGGCCCCTCGCCCGGACCCCGCGCCGCGCCCGCGCTTTGTTGCCGCCGCCCGGGTCCTGGCGGCGGGCGGGCGGGCGGGCGGGGGGCGCGGGGAGGGCGCCATGGGGCCGCGCGCGCGGGGCTGGGGGCTGCTGCTCGCCGCCGCCGCGCTGGCCGCCTGCGCCCGCGGGGACGCGCCCGCCCGGGGCCGCAGCTGCGCCGAGGTCCGCCGGGCCTACGGGGCGCGCGGCTTCAGCCTGAGCGACGCGCCGCAGGCCGAGATCTCGGGTGAGTGCGCGGCGGGGGGCGCGGGGCGCTAGGCGGGCGGGGGGCGCGGGGCGGGGCGCGCGGCGGGGGGCGCGGGGCGCGGAGGCGGCGCGGGGCGCGGGGCGCGGGGCGCAGAGGCGGCGCGGGGCGCTAGGCGGGCGGGGGGGCGCGGGGCCCGGGGCGGCAGCGGCCGGGGTCCCCGCGGGCCGCGCCCGAGTGGGGGGCGACTCTGCCGCCGCGCGGGGCGCCCAGCCCGGGACGCGCTGGCGGGGGGGCGCGCCGCAGGTGGGGCCCCGACCCTGCCGGCCCCTCACTTCTCCAAGCGCGCGGGTCCTCCGAGGACGGAGCCGCGGCCCCGCACCCGGCCTCGGGGGGACTTTGGAACGGCGGGAGGGGACGGGGGTCCTGAGGGCCCCGACCCGGCTGGGCCCTCAAGCTGCACCCGTGGGGGGCCGCGGAGAGCGGGGCGGGGAGTCTGCAGAGCGGGCTGAGCAGAGAAGGGGTCCTGTCCCCCAAGGTGGGGGTGCCGGCCACGATGGGGGTGGCCCGGGGCCGGGGTGACCAGCCGTCCTCCCCAGGAGGGGAGCGTGTTTACCGCGGGGCAGCACCGCGGCCCGGGCCGCTGGGGTGCCGGGCTCCGCACCCCTGGCCAGGGGGTCGGGCCTCAGAAGCTGCCCTGAGAGATCCCTGGACACCCCTCAGCCCCCAGCCCGGGCAGGTCCTCCGTCCTGTGGCGCCGTGGGGCCCCTACCAGGTGGGGCAGGTCTGGCGGGCACGCGGGGCCTTCGGTGGCCTTCGTCCACGGGGACCGTGTCCAGGGCCTCCAGGCCTCTCTGGCCAGTCCTTCCCCAGACACTGGCCTCGGGGTGACTGAGCAGGGTCCTCGGTGGCCCCCGGAAGCCTTCCCACCACCCTTGGTCCCTTGGCGTGTGCCTTCCGCCCACCTCTTGCTGGTGTCCTGGTCCCCACTTTAAACTTGCTGGCACCGCAGGCCTCCCCGGGGGGAGCAGGCAGAGCGGGGGGCTGGGGCCACTGTTGGGGTGCGGCTCTGGAACTGGGCTGAGCCCCGCGCTGGAGCTGCAGTGGGTGCGGGCCCAGGACGGACGGATGCCAGGCCAGCTGAGTGCCGGCCCAGCAGCTGCCCAAGCGTCGGGCAGGGTCTCCCCCCGCCACCGTCCTCGTCACCCCTGTGGGTCTGGGAGTCTGGGGCGGCGCTCTGGGCAGGGTCCTCCCCTCCCTGGCAGTGCCCCCGCCGACCCACCGCTGTCCCAAGAACTCTCCCCCAGCCCCATGGCCGTGACCACCCCATCCACATCAAGCTCCAGAGTCCACTGGGATGCCCGGGTGCCCAGAGCGGTGCCAGCAGCGCATGGGCGAAGGGGGCAGGGTGACCTCCCAGGGCAGTGCCCGCAGGGCCCCTCCTGCCTGGGGCCCCTGGGCCTGGCCGCGGGGCGGGTGCCCCCTGGCGGCCTGCGGCAGCATCTCCGGGGAAGCGGTGTCCCCTCTGCGGGGCGGGCACTTGGCCAGCGCGGGCACTCACTGAGGGGTGGCTGAGGCTGAGGTTCCACCCTGGCCGAGCTGGTCTTGCGTGGGAGGCAGGGGCCCCACTTTCCTGGCAGCTGGAATGGGGAGGGGTGTCCCCGGCCCCGGGGGCCCTGTCGGCTGTCTGAGGGGGCAGAATGCAGGGGCGCCCTTCATGGCTGTAGACGTCTGGACGGCGGCCAGGAGGCATCGAGCACACTTGCCAGCTCCCTTTGTAGGGACGGGCGGGGTGCACAGTCCCAGTGGCCCCCTCGGGACAGATCCCCCTGCGGCCGGCGTGCATGGACGGGGGTGGGCAGGGGTGGGCAGGCCTCTGGGCGTCACCGTGCAGCCGGGACATGCGAGGCTCCTGTGAGCTCGCTTCAGGCCCGGGTGGGCCCTGCCTGGCCTCCAACGTGCAGCGTGATTTGGGGGTGGCTGTGTCTTTGAGGCCCTCGTGGGCCCTGGGCGGGGAGACGCTGTTCTCTGTTGGGGGCGAGCGTGGGACCGTCAGTGCCACAGACGTGGCCCTCTGCCCCGGGTCAGGCCTGCCAGCCAGTGAGGGGGGCCCACAGCGGGGCCCACGCCGACTGCGTAGGTGGCCGGCGCTGAGTGCCCAGGGAGGGTCCTCAGGCGCCCAGGCCCCGCCGTGTGCCAGGGCAGTCCTCTTGCCCGGGAGAGCTCCCTGGCGTCCGTCCACTAGCTGTGGTCAGCGGGCTTTGCCAGGTCGCCCGGCAGGCAGCCTTCCTCAGGCCAGAAGGTTCTGTGCCGGCCCCATTGGAAGGAGAAGCCCCGCGCCCGGTCCCCGAGCAGGCGTGGCCTGGCTGTGCCGGGTCCCTCGGTCACCAGAAGCTGAGCTTCATCACTCCGGCGCCAGGACAGGCTGCGGGCGGGTGTGCCCTGGGCAGCCCCTGCTGGGCACGTGCGCTACATCTCCCGGACACCCCCCCCCGCCTCTCTGCCTCCTCATGGTGACCCCGATGGCCCTCGCGACCACCTGTGCGTTGCCAGGGAAACACTGCAGGAGCGCGGCCGGGACGCAGGCCACCTGCCCCCTTGGCCCCTTGCCTTGGGCCCCAGAGACCTGGGGCCGCTCGGACCCCACGGGTAACAGCCTCTGGCACTCGGGAGCCTTCGTTCTGCGTCAGACGCGGGGCGGCCGCTGCCCACACTGTCCAGTCAGTGCGCGTGTGACAGGCCTGCAGGGGAGCAGGTGCCCAAGAAGCCACGGCCTGGGTGGGGTTAGTCTTTGACCCCAAAGCCTGTGGCGTTAACGGCTGCCCCAAGCCCAGAGCCGCCAGCTGAAGGCCCGGGCTCCTCCAGCCGCAGCCCAGCCGTCCTGACAGAGCTGCGGTGGAGGCGCGGGGCGGAGCCGGCCTGACCAGGACGTGCCGGCCAAGCAGGACGCCCGCAGCGGGGCTGGGCCGAGGCCCGCAGGGTCTGTGGGCGTGTGCCGGCCAGGAGAGCCTGCCAGGCCCGGGGCTTCAGGGCGACTCAGACAGGAGTTGGGGGGCTGCCCGTCACCTTGCCCGGTGCCCCCAGCACCCCCGGCAGCGGGGTGCAGGCCGGCGGCCCCTTTCCAGAGAGGAAGCAGGCTCAGGGGGGACGGTCTGGCCTGACCCTGACGTGGCGGCTCCTGCGGGCGTTTCTCCGATTTCACCTCACGGAAACCAGGCCTCGGCCGTGGCACGGGGTCCTGCTTGGCCTCACCCCGCTTCCTCCCTCAAGGCCCGCCTCACACCAGGGCCCTGCACGGCCCTGCCCACCTGGCCGCTCACCTTGGCCATCCCGGCAGCTCCCGACCCCACAGGAACTGCAGACCCGTGGGGTGCCGGCCCCACGCCTGCCCCAGAACTGGGGGGTCCTTCAGACCGTCGTGGGGACCCGCGGCTGAAAGTCCCGGGACCCGAGGGCCGGACGCCGCGAGCCGGGCGGTTGCCGCACCCCAGGCGGATGTGGGAGCAGGTGGAGGGCGGGGGCGGTGGGTCCCGGGGCGCAGCCGAGGCCGCTGCTCACTCTGTGCCGAGAGCCCCCTGGGTCGGAGGCTTGGCCAGGTGACAGGGCAGCCCCAGGGGCCCCTTGCCGTCGCCCCGACCTGGCCCCAGGGGCCCTGCGTCCCGCGCTGGCCCTGCTGTGCGCCGCGGGGTGGGGGGGCAGTGGGAGGCCCAGGTGGGCGAGCCGGTGGCCTGCAGCTGCCCAGGGAGGCCGCCCGCCACTCCTACCGGGGCCCAGGTCTGGCTAGGCCCTGCCCCTTCTGCCCCTCCTGGCCTCTCCTGTCGCCGGGCTTCCGGGGTGGGCTGAGCGCACGGGGCGCCGAGTCCCGGAGGAGTCCCTACGGCCCTGAGGCCCATTCTCGGTGGCCTCTCTCCTTCCCCCAGCCCGGGCCAGGCAGGCCCAGGCGACGGCCCCCAGCACGAGGGGTGCTATGGGGTGAGGCCAGGCCACGAGTGCCTGCACTGCTGGGGTGTGTGGTCCGGGGTGAGGCTTGAGGCCCCTGGGGGATGCAGAGCTGGGCTCGAGGCCCCAGACCACCACAGATGTCAGGGGACGGCCTGCAGACCCGGGGACCAGCCCGGGGGGAGAACCTGGGGGCGCTGGGGCCTTGCAAAGCCTCCGGCTGGGGTGAGGTGCTGCTCTGGGCATTTTGGACTGATTTTGGGGTGGGGTCGGGAGGGCCATGGCCTCAGAGAAGCGCAGGACACCCGAACCGCCTCTCAGGAGAACAATCAGTTCAGGCCGGGCCAGCCTGGCTCTGCCAGCCCACCTCCGGGAGCCTCCTGGGTGCAGCTGGTTCTGCCCATCGGCACCTAATGCCCAGTCCCACTGCCCCATCTCCCTGTAAGGGGCAAGGGAGGACTGGCCAGAGGGACGACAGGACCTTCACCCACCCGCCGCCCATCATGCACCCGCTCCGTGCTCGCCCTGATGGTGTCTGGGGCACAGATGAAAACTGAAGTCCGGTGAGACGCTCAGTGGCCAGACCCCAGCGGTCCAGGACCGGCACTGCCTGTGTCCTCCGACCCAGTTGGTCGCCCAGGGTGGCCACTTTGGCCCGGTGCTGCAGCGCCCTGAAGAACAGGTGACTGGTCTTCGTCCCTGTGGGTGGCCAGCCCTGGGCAGGTGCACCTGGCGTGTGGGTCCCCGGGCCCGTGGTCAGTGCCAGGCCCTGGGGTCTGTGGCCTGGGCACCAAGTGGGACTCCGTCCTGACCCTGGGACCACGGTCTGAAGCTTGCACGTGACGGTCCACGGCCCCGCGGGCGGCGCCTGGGCCACTGGAGGCCACCCTGGCCGCTGCGGTGAGCCGTGTGTGACGTCTCGGTGCGTCCCCAGGCGTCTGGTCTCCCGACCGCATCCTGCCCACCTGCGGCCACCTGGAGGGCCCTGGGGAGAAAGACGACGCCATCCGCTGCCTGGGCTGGCTCTGGCGCCCGTGTCCCCGTCCTCACGCAGCCGGGATGCGCCGGCCTCGGGGGCACCAGGCCCCGAGTAATCCAGCCGC